CGGACCTGTGGAAGATGGCGGCGACGACACACGAGTGCGTCTGACCGGATTGCGCCCCAGACCCAGTATGTGGCTCGGCTGGGGTTACCGAATGAGTTTCGGCTTCCGGCTTTTGATGTTAGGCTTAGGTGAGTGGTTTGGGTAGTGGCCCAGCTAGCACCCCCTCATCATATGGGATAGGAGTAGCGGCACATGTTGCCAAGATGGTGGATTCAGACACATTGTTGTAATACTTTGTATGGTTATCGAGAATAATCAATAAAGTGGTCGTATGCATCTCCCAGATGCAGAGGCCGGGGGTCATCCTCCTTTTCTAAAAAAAACCATACGATGGGACCACAGAGCCGGTAGTGTGGATTGGGGAGTCCTCATGCATGTTAATATGGCCCAAGGAGATGACCTTCACACCGTCAAATACATGTCCTTAAAGCTCAAAGGACCGACGCGACATTGGCTTAACAGCTTGCCTGCAAACTCGATAGATAGTTGGGAAGAGCTGGAGGATGTTTTTCGAGCTAACTTTCAAAGGACTTATGTCCAGCCTCCGGGCGCCGACAACCTCAGTCTATCATACAGAAGCCCAGGGAATGCACCAGACAATTCTGGAACCGATTCATAAATATAAAAAAACAGATTATGGACTGCTCGGACGCAGAAGCAACTGATGCCTTTAAGCACAACATCTGTGACAAACAGCACGCTCGAGAGCTCGAGCAAGAGATACCCCGGACAATGGCGGCCGTCACTCATTTAATGGATAGATTCAGCGCGGGGGAGGATAGCTGGATTGCTCACAACAACAATGGCAGTCCTCCAGCATCACAAAGCCAAAACTGTACATGTCGGTCGCTGACGTCAGTGGGGGAGACAAGGGGCCAACAAGAGCCCTTCCCCCAATGTTAAGCCTAATATGCATGTTCATAGATGATAAATTATTGTTAAAGTGGTGTATTCTAACTAACTGGCAATCCTTAACAAGGATTTACTACACACGGCCCTTCTCATTCTATTTTCCTGGCTCCACCATAGGCTGGCGTCAGGCGCCCCGTGCGGCAGTACTATAGGTTGATGTAGTCGCCCTTGCATAGTGCAATGCCTCGAGCTGCATCGGGGTTGCCTTATGGCGTAAGGCATCCCGTGTGGCAGTACTTCGTCCGCAATGCCACCGCAGCGCCCTGCGCGAGCGCCGCGTCCCGTGGTGACCACTGCATCCCCCGCTGCATGGTAGCCGCCGAGGAGGAAGAGAGCCACGCCTACGCCGACCAGGCTTTGCCCCGCGGCGAGGAGGAGGTGGGCGGCGGCGGTAGTTATGGTTTGCTCCTCACTGTCGGGTCCCACTGTTGAATGTACGCCCCCGACAGCGATCATTTACCACTAGCAGGCGGAAGGCACGGCGACACGCCGCGCCCGTACGTATGTTTGAGGTCGGGCTGGTTGTGAAGAGACCATTTGACATTGTTGTTTATTGCCAAGTCCATCAGCAATAACTCTTCCATCGCTCATACCTTGTTATTAGTGGAAAGGATAGTAGTTATGTACTGCATTAACAATAGATTTTAATTGCGTGCAAACTTACAAAAAGAATGCAACTGATCTGCTCATCATCTAAAATATTCGGGGAACTGGATGAATATTCTACCATGAGCCACACACTTACAGTAAACCAGTACAAAGGGTATAGGTGCATTTGAAGGCATAGAAATGTGTTCATGAATCAAAACCGTAACAATGGCAGAGTTAGCATGACGAAGCAAAAAAATAATACAAAAGCTTGTGTCAATAATGAAGATCACTCTTTATCCAAAATTTAAAACGAATTGATAATGTAATTAGAAAGATGATGAAAAACATCTAGGTTCAGTTCTATGCAATATGAACATAATTAATCTTTTGTGAACATAAGCCCTATGAGAAGTTGGGTAAAGCTCATGGTTAACAATAGTGAAAATACATGTTGGTGTAGCCTCACAAAGAATTTTATGAGCAAAAGCACTCCATGATACATAACTCTTAAGAAAATAATCCCCAAAACTCATCGCAAGCTATGGATTAAGATTATGGAATATGGAGAGGACATGTACCATGGATCTTACCTTTTCTTCTTCTAATAAGAGTCAGCTCATCTCCCCGATGCTCAAATTGAGAATTTGACTCATTAAACATAAGTATAATAGAGGAATATGATGCACCACAGAAATAAGCACTCAACTACTTCTAATATCTATTAGAATTTGTGTGTATGTGTCGACTACCCTTTTAACCAAGGATCAAACAATGGTTTAATTAGAAATAAAATAAAACATGATGTTGAATATAAAATAATAATAATAATAGGAGGTGCAATTTGTTATTACTACCTTTACAAATTGGCTAACACCCCAGGGGCTGCCGTGTTAATGTACCAACTAATGGTGGAGGTGGATTAGAATTTAGAATGCCAGCATACCTGAATGTCGCAGTAGTTTTCATATTGTTGCCATTTTCCACCAATTAATTTTAAATAGTGGTATAAAATAATCTCTTCAGCGCAACTGTTTACATACCCGAATATTGATGAACCAAGGTGCAAACAAACATAGCCACAATAGGCTGATTCTCGAGTAGTCTGTCAACGTCAAATTTATTTGCCAGATCTCCCATAAGAAAAGAACCACATGCTAGAAAAACATTGATCGTCCATTCGTAATAGAAACTTGGTGTCTGTACTGCCAAGCACGACCAATGGTGGTAACACATCAGTAATGGAAACCACCAAACTGAGAACATCTAAAGTATATGTAAAATCACAAGACAATCATTTATGTATATGCATAAGAATAAGGAGGATAAGTATACATTATTTAACTTGGCATTTATATATTCTGCCTAAGATGCCTCCCAATTGTGAAAAAGGTAACACATTGTAGGCTAACGTGGGAAAGTTTCTAGTTGTGGAGCAAGTGGCTCATCTATTATTGTCTGAGCAAAATAAAGTCTCCACGGGTGATCCACTGCTCTATATTTCTCTAGCATTCCACATATCAAAACGTTCAAATGTGTAGACTAATCCTTCCTCAAACTTATTTATAAATCTAGGCACTCTATCGAATGGAACTAATCCCTTAGAGTACCAGCCCATAAAATTAGACATGGATTGAGAGTAATGCTTTTGCCATGCCAAATAGCAATGCCAAATTCACTATTGAGATAAATATTGTAGAATTTACTTCTGTCAGATCTCCCATAATGTTAGAACCACATGCTAGAAAAACACTAACCGTCCATTTGGTAATATAAACCTAATGTCTGTACTACCAAGCACGACCAATGTTGGTAACACATCAGTAATGGAAACCGCCAAATTGAGAACATCCAAAGTATATGTAAAATCATAAGACAATCGTTTATATATATGCATAAGAATAAGGAGGATAAGTATACAATATTTAACTTGGCATTAACATATTCTGCCTAAGATGCCTCCCAAGTTGTGAAAAAGGTAACACATTGTAGGCCAACGTGGGAAAGTTTTCTAGTTGTGGAGCAAGTGGTTCAATTATTGTTCTCTGGGCAAAACAAAGTCTCCACGGGTGATCCATAGCTCTGTATTTTTCTAGCGTTCCATATATCAAAATGTTCAAATGTGTAGACTAATCCTTCCTTACGCTTATTTATAAATCTAGTCACTCAATTGAATGGAACCGATCCCTTAGAGCACCGACCTATAAAATTAGACATGGATTGAGAGCAATGCTTCACCATGCCAAATTGACTCATGAGATAAATATTTTAGAACTTACTTTGTGGTCGACCAAGAAGATAAAATAAGTTCATGACATTGGAAATGTCAAGAGTCTAGAATCTTATCAAGCTACAAAGAATAAAATTTCATGATATGCAGAGAGTTTGTGGAAGAAAGGAGATACAACGAAGAGGTGTCATCAGAAGAGGGATGGAAAGCACCATGGGAGGGGAAAGACGAAGAACGGGAGAGGAGAATAGAGGGTCAAGGAATACATGTGCACATGGGGAAGATGAGATGAGAAAGAGAGCTTGAGGGACCGAGGAAACTCAACCGTGTCGTCGACATTGTCGCCAAAGGCTTGCAGTCGCCGCGGTCCCGACGGTTCGAATCGGGAAGGGGCTTCGCAATAAGAAGATCAGTCAGGAGGAGTGGCGCGCCAATATTTGGAAAAAGAACTGCTGCTATTCGCCGCTACTACAGATCTATCGTCGCCCCTGGTGCGACACTTCACCCATCATGGGAGAGGGAAAGGAAGGGAACATGGAGGGCAACAAAAAGGGAGGAGGTCGCCGATGACGGCAACAGAATAGGGGACATGTGCGGGCAAATTTTTTGAAAGAGCAGTGGTGGAGGAGGGAACAGCAGAGATTGGAGAGGAGGAAGAATGCCCCGCTGCTCTCTCTCTCTATGCCTCTCGTTGTCTCTCCAGAAAGAAGCAGAAGGATCCAAGAAAGCGGTGAGTAGTGGGTCCTATATTTTGGTGGCCTCAATTTTGAGCAGTAAATTGAACAGGGCAGTAAAAATTCGAAAAACACACGCTAGCTTAGTAGAGGAAAAAACGGGTGTTGGATGGTTAGGAGGACACTGGTATCCCCAGCCCAACAGGGTTGAAGTTCTAGATCTGACATTGGTGCTCGCATTATTTCTAGATTTTTTTTCAGGTTTCCAGCAATGTTCGTTCAATGAAAGGACACGTTCCCGTCGACTGCGTGGCATCTGTGGTGACTTCATAAAGTCTCAAGATGCTATGCTGGCTCATTCTCTCGGAGGTGCTCATAAAGGATGCGTGCGTTCATGGGAATGAGTGTATGCTAGTGTAGATGAACGACTTCGAGTTCAACACTAATAACAAAATATAGAGACATCTAACGGTTCTCAGAAATGTTACTATTCCAAAGAGAGATTCTACAAAATACTCCGTATTTACACAAAAGGTTTTATCCACGTTCCAGTCTCACAAGCAGCTTGTGTAAACCAATCAGGTTGTACTCAAGCATCATCCATTGGCGGCACTGCATGCTACGTGCTGGCGAGCCTGAACGCTATGTCGAGGTGAGCCACGACGTCTGATATGTGTGGCCGAACTATCGACTGCCGATGCAGACACTGGGCCGCCGTGTTGGCCACCCACTGCAGCGCCTGGAGCTGCACCGGCGTTGGCTGCGGCTCCGGGCGCCCGTCCAGCAGCTTCTCCAGCTCCCCGGCCTCGATAAGTGGGAGCGCAAAGTGCACCAAGTCCATCTGGACCTCGCCCTGCCCCCCCTTCAGCCGGAGTAGTTATCACCGGCGGCCTGCCCGTCAACACCTCCAGCATCACAACGCCGAAGCTGTACACGTCGGTCGCCGGCGTCAGGCGCCCTGTGCGGCAGTACTCCGGGTCGATGTAGCCGCCCTTGCCTACGACCTGGTACTCCGCCTCGTCCGTCTCGTGCCGAACCGAGGACCCCAGGTCCGACACGCGCGGCATCCAGCTAGCGTTCAGCAGGATGTTGGAGGATTTGATGTTGCAGTTGATGACCGACGGCTCGAAGTTGCAGTGGAGGTATCTGATGGCGCGCGACGCGCCCAGGAGCACCTCCACGCGCGTATTCCAGGACACCATCACCGCCGAGGAAGGCGGCTTGCGACCGTGTAGGTGGTCGTGGAGCCAGCCGTTACGCATGTACTCGGTGACGACCAGGCGCTCGTCCTCCTCCTCGCACCAGCCCAGGAGGCGCACGAAATGGCTGTGGCGGGGGTGCGGGATGACGGCGAGCTCCGTGCGTAGCACCTTCTCCCTGTCCTGCGCCGTCTTGCTGATGCGCTTGATGGCCACGTCGCTCCCGTCGCTAAGCCTCCCTCTGTACACCGTCCCGGAGGTGCCCTTGCAGACCTTGGTGAAGAAGGCGTAGCTGTTGGACGCCGCCGCGATCTCTGCCAGCGTGAACTTGGCAACACCCTTCCAAGCAGGGACTGGGTGGGACTGGGAGGTGGATGCCGGCGATTGAAGGGTTGTATGGCTTGGACGGAGGGAGTCGCAGATTCGGTTGAGGTTGTAGGTTAAGGCTATGTAGCTGATGAAAGGGACGACGAGGAGGTAGGAGTCCATCCTACTCTGGATGTCCCTGAACTTGTCAGCCAGCCTCCTGGCATTGAGGAAGCGGTAGAAGCGGCTCTTCCGCTGGCAGACCATGACGAGGTCGTGCGCCTCCCGGAGCGTGTCGCCCAGCCCGGCCAGAGGCCGCCGGAACTCGGGCCGCCGCATCAACTCAGGTTCCTGGAGGTGCGGCAGCAGGTCGGCGATCATGTGGACGCGGCGTGAGAGCTGCTCGCAGGCCTTCTTGTTCTGGCGAGCCGTCAAGGCCGCCTGCGTGATTAGGGAGATGAGCCCGCCGGCGTCCACCCCAACCAGCTGCGCAACCGTCGCCGCCTGCCCCAGCCCCGCCCACAACGCCATGACAGCCTACTCAGATCTGAGCTAGTACTCTCTCCGGTTACGAGCTAATACCCTCGCATCGCATCTCGTCTTTGCGGACAACTTTGCCCGGAAATGGACACAGAGGGGATTATTTGAATGTCGGACTCCTCGATGCCGACGCGCAATCGGCAAACGGGTAGATAACGAGCACGCGTCCGCTACGCGCTTCCGGGCGCGCTATCCTCTACACCGGCCGTCGCGCCGTAGCGGCATCCGCCGGGAAGAGGTGAGGCAACCTCCGCGAAACTGCCGTCGGGCCGAGGCACTGTGTATGATCTTCTGTTCTGTCTATTGCTTTGTGGAAGTTTCAAAGCATTTTAGTCAAGCGAGGAGCCTGAGTAATGGTTGAACCTGATTGCCCCTTCGTACTAGGTGGAGTTGAACTTTCTGCGCTCTCGAGCGCACATGCTCTCGCGCCGTCGAATCAATCGTGGAGCAATCCGCAGCGAGTGCGCAGGTACTATTCGGTCGGAGGTAGGTGCCGCATTTAATTTGGTCCTGTCCAATCTCCAGCCAACTTAACAGAGCATTATATAGTCTGTTTATAAACCTGTTTAAGGTTTTTTGCAAGAGAAATTTAGCATCTATTCATCAATTATGACAGTACAAAAAACACTAGAGGTAATAAAAATTACAACCAAATCCATGTACCACATAGTGACGACTATAAGCACCGGAGCGAGCCGAAGGCACACCGCCGTCATAGCCCCTCCCTCATCAGAGGCAAACCTTGTTGTAGTAGACAGTCGAAAAGTCATCATACTAAGGCCCCAAAGGATCAGTGCACCAGAGCAAGAACCATTGCCGATGAACAGAGTTGTAGATTGAAAAGATCAAACCGAATGAAGACGAATAAACAATGGATCCAAATAGATCCACCGAAGACAGCACCGACCGAATCCCGCGAGATTCAACGAAGAGACGCCTCCACACATCCTCCGATGAAGCTATTCACATCATCGGAACGGGGATAGAACGTAAGAAAAATTATTTCTACTAATGGACATTGTCACCGCCACATAGCCCCAACCAAGATATTGGACCTAACAAAAACGAGAACAGGGTCCCTCCTATCGACGAGGGGCTGAGATTGTCCGCACCTCCACGGCCAAAAGGCCATCGGAGACAGGACAGATCGACGGCGGCGACAAAGGGAGAGGAAAGTAGACTTTTCTTGAGGTGGAAAGACAAACGTGACTTCTCCTTCCTACTTTCAACAAACAGAAACATGTTTATGGTTAATATAACATTAATAATCTATTTAGGGCGAGTGCAAATGAATGCGTAAGGTGATGAATGTAAATGACATGCGCTTATGGATGATTTTTTTTCCTGAATAGTTTGATATCTTATTTTGCATTTTTCTATGTTCATGAGAATTTGTTAGTATAAAATATTATTGTAACGGTCAACCACTATGACCGGATGAAGGGCAACCTAAAATGCTTTGTTATGGCCAAATTTGAGCAAAAAAAAATAGAGTTAAATGTGACGTGTGGGTTTGAGTTAGGGCACAAATACGATCGGCCAATTATTTAGGTTTTTTTTCTAACATCAGTACAGACACAAGCGCTTATATACACGCGCATACACTCACCCATATAAACGCACACATGCACACCCTATCCCTATGAGCACCTCCGAAAGACTGAGCCGGCATATCATCTTAAAATTTACGAAGTAAAAATTCTGAAATAAATCCAGAAATAAATGCGAACACCAGGACTTAAACCCTGGTGGGTTAGGATACCATAGTCGCTCTAACCATCCAATCAGAGGTTGGTTCGCGGCGAATTATTTAGTTATTGCGCGTGATAACTACCAAACATTATGTTTTCATAAGCTTAACCATCAAACACCCCCGTCCTCCCCACTAATTACATGCAAGATTTTACCGTGGATTTCTTCAAGTCGTCTTGGGAAATCATCCGTGTGAAGGTGATGGACGTGATTAAGCAATTCTCTCGTTTGCGTGTTGCTCATCTCCAGTGGCTTAACTCGGCCGATGTGTTTTCCTCCCCAAGAAAGATGGGGCCGAAGATATCCTTGACTTCCGACCCATTAGTCTTACCCATGCC